TGTAAGAAAACATCCCATTAGGCTGCGGGAGATTGCTGAACTTTCTTGTAAGAAAACATCCCATTAGGCTGAGTGGCTTGGAAGATAAAAGCCCTAATAGAATGGATTTTAGAAGAGGACAGTAGTTATCTAATGGGATTCATCTTCAACAGCTCCAAGTACAACCTCTTAAAAGGATCACATTAAAAATTCTGGGCCAGCTCCTGAACCTCAGCCAGACAGTCACAAACAAACCTAAGCCCAGAGATGCTTGAGTTTTTCTAAAGAAGATGATGGTTTTTGTCTGCCCCCCATAGCTTCATTAAATGGTTGACTCTGGGAAATATTGAATAGCTGGCTCTGTAGTTATAATCTAGAGAGCAGGGCCATGAGTAGACTCTGTAATAAGAGGCCCTCTGGAAAGTCCTGGAACACATTTCTGAGAAGGCCCTGGTAACAGAAGCTTCAGGTTTGTGTGGTTTAGGGTGGTCTGGGGTAGTTGACTCTGGCAGTAGTACCTCAGAGTGGGAGGGGCTGTTCAATCTGATGTAGCTTTTTTAAAAAATATATATTTTATTGATTTTTTACAGAGAGGAAGGGAGAGCAATAGAGAGATAGAAACATCAATGAGAGAGAAACATCAATCAGCTACCTCCTGCACACTCCCCACTGGGGATGTGCCCACAACCAAAGTACATGCTCTTGACTGGAACCTGGGACCCTTGAGTTCCCAGGCCGGTGCTCTATCCACTGAGCCAAACAGGTTAGGGCAATCTGATGTGGCTTTTTGTTTGTCTCTCCCTACTGATCTGGCAAACCTCCACGCCCTTGACACTGCTAGTCACCAGGTAATGTTAATAAGTTATGAGTTACCGGACCCTGGTGAATAGAAGTGTGATCCACCCACCTGTGGCTTTGCATCTAATATGTTGCCTTGGACAGATAACTTCATCCCCCAGGGCCTCCATTAATGAACTATAAAGTAAGAACATTGGGTTTTATCTTTGAGGACTCATCTAGTCTTAAAGTTCATCAGTTTTTGAGGCCCCAGGCTCCCAGGAACAGTAACTATACTCTTGGGCATCTGTGAGTCTCTTCCCTGGCGGTCTCCGTCTAGCAAGTTTATTTCGGAAGCTGAATTCACAAGAAGTCTCCCCACTAGAGAGTAACTGTGGTGAAGCACTCACACCTGGTCTTAAATACTGTTCTACCATGTACCAGTTTTGAGGTGAGTGCATTAGTTTAAAATTGGGGCTGAAACAGATCACTACACACTTAGCAGCTTGACACACAAGTATGACTCTTACAGTTTGTAAATAAGAGGCTCACCAGGTTCAAGTCAAGGTGTTGGCAGGGCTGTGTTCCTTTCTGGAGGCTTTTTGGGAGAATCTGGTTCCTTCTTTCTCATTAGCACTCTTAGCTTTCATAGGCCGCCTGTTTGCCTCAGCTGTGGCCCCCTTCTTCTTTCTTAAGAATCAGTAGTAGGTGAAATCTATCTCACTCTGAAGCTCTTGCCTCTTCTGTTTTCCCGTATCTCTGAGACTGCTGCCTTCCTCTTCCTCTTAAATGTAGTCACCCAGCTTATTTTATGCATTAGAATCAAAAGAGGTGACATACGGGGGGAATCCATGAGATTCATTGGTGGTAGATTAGGGAGGTGAGAGAAAGCAAAGCTTATTTACCTTGGTGGGTTGAGGATAGTTAATAGCATTTTTCAGCACATAGAGATGGTATTCAGGGAACAAAATAACAATGAGGAATGGTTCTGTGGCTTCATGCTCTGGTGTGGTGGGTGTGTCCTAATGGGTCTGGCAAAGGAGAATACTCTAAATTTCAAAGCTATGTTATCTTAGATTAAAAAAAACAAAAAACAAAAAAAAAAACACAACAAAACACTCACAAAAATACAAAACAACAAAAAACAAGATAGGTTCCTTAAGGTAAAGACTAACCTTTGACAAGGAAGCTGTAGGCCTATGACATGACTGCCTGCCATGACCTGCTTTTAATTAGGAATTTTTATGTTCAGACCATCCTGATTGGTTACTTCAGTTTCTGAGTTTGTAGGGCCTGCCACACAGGACTCCCCAAGCTTGTCAGGTTTAGTATGTGGTCCCCTTTTTGCCACAGACAATTAAAAGTCTCCCTGTGTCTTGACTTTTTAGCAGACAAAAGAGGGTTTAAGGCATTGCAGCCCTCCCTCCTGTCCCTGATGCCCACTGCTACACATCTAGGCATGAATGTAGTGTGGACTAGTCCTCAAAGTTACCTGAGTAGGAAATAGGCCTGTGTGATCCACCTTCAGCATAGTCAACTTTTAGTGGAGAATGCCAACAGCATGTTGCCAGTCGGTTACTGAAATTCCCAGGGCAAACAGGATTAGGAAAGATGGGAAAGAGGATAAGAACAGGCTGTGTATATGGTCAGCAGCACATTTCCCAGGATGATCCGCCAGTCACAGCTAGACAACGGGAGGTGGAGACAACCCATTTTTTAAAAATAACCCAATAGGAGACAATAAGACCTAGGCGAGGGGTGAGGGGACTATTAACCCCATAGTCCTCAGCCAATGAGGAACCGGGAAGGACTCTCACACACTAGGGATAAATTGCCTGTGATCCCTGCTGCTCTGGCGTGCCTACTCAACCAGATTCCCAATCTTGCAAGACTGCATTAAAGGTCTCATTTTCACTGGACTTCATGTCTCTGAGTCCAGTTATTTGAATTGGGACAGGTGAGCATTTCTCACACCTGGAACTCCATTTACTTCCCCAGAGTGAACAAGGAGGTGTTCCCATTATACTTGCTAAAATGGGGAGCGGGAGCTTCCAGCATGCTGAGCTGTTGCCTCCTGTTCTGCTCCCGGGTACATGGTGGTGCCCTCCAGAGTCACTCGTTTGGCCGGATGCCCTTAGAGGCATGGCCTGGAGAAGTGGCCTTCACTAGGCTCCGGCGCAGCCAACAGCACTGGGTGGAATGACAGCAGAGCAGGGATTGCAGTTGCTGTATTAAGTACTTTCCTCACATTCTCAGTTGACTGAACAACCTTCATGGGGAGAGCAGTGCTGTTCCCCCTGCTTGGAGAAAGGGTCCAAAGCTATTATAGGTTAGAGCAGGGGTGGGGCCCGGGCAGTCCTGACTCTGGGCCCTGTGTGCTGTGACTCCCCATGGCTGCCCCTCTCACCAGGATCGACAGCCTTTCTTTAGTAAGCTGAGGTCTTAGGGCAGGAGAGGGGATCAAGTGCTGCCCCCTCTGAGAGCATCCTTTGCTTCATGGCAAGCCACCTGGTAGATTCCCTGTGTTTTCTTGGCCTGCTAGCTCCTTCCCCATGTTCCTGAAGCCCCCCAGACCTTTAATTCCTGGTTTCTGAGATAACCAGTCAGTAGTCAGTCATATGTTGGTTCATGACGATTCTTTGTGTGTCTTCCTTCCAGACTCTGTAGACAATGGGAAGCAAAGGAGGGTTCACCCTGCTCGGGCTCCTGATCATCCTTTCTGTCCTCTATGATTCAGGTGAGTGGTCCGGAGGGACATGGATCTCGACCATCTGGGCCCCCTGGCCACACGCTTCCTTTTCCTGAGGCCCCAGAAGACTGAGTTGATGCCACTGGCCTCGGCCTGGCTTTGGTGGCTTTGCCTTCCAGTGCTACAGGCCCAGAGCTGTGAGACAGCTCCTTCCTATGTTACAGGCTTGCCCGCAGCGGAGCACCTTCCCAGGTTACAGCCATTCTGGGTTACAGAGCTGCCTCCGGGGGTAGGGGTGGGGCAGAGGGGGTACACTCAGCAGCTTAAGTTTCTCCCTCTCATCACAAGCTGCTGGGACACCAGTGGACCCATCTTTAGAGAGCTGTGCTCTGTCCTGCCCTGACCTTTATGCACTGTGATGAGGATGGTGCTCATAGTAACAGCAGTAGCAGCTAATGCTTCTAGCATTTCTGTGCCAATCACTGTTCTGAACCCTTCACAGGTATTTACTTATTTAATCCTCACGCCAACCCTATAGAGTAGGTACTGTTTTTATCGCCACTTTACAACTGACAATACTGGGGCCCAGAGGGATTAAATAGCTTGTAAACTATCCCACAGAATAGCCCGAATTTGAACCCAAACAGCTTGGCACCAGACCATCTGCTCTTAACTCCTTCATCGCTGGGCCGCCCCTCCCTGGCTTCTGGAGGTATTGGTGTGTTTCTGAGTCTTAGCCTCTGTAACACTAGGCACACCAGTGTGACTTGCTATTTGTCATCATAAGGATCAAGTTTTTCATTTTCTGCCTGTCATACTGGTACCGCCAGTTTTGTGGGGGAGGCGACAGAGGAGGAAATAGTGCAGTGAACAAAAGGAAAAAGGTATCTGCCATGTTGGAGCATGGCTTACATATTAGTCGCTTTAGTGGCTACCATATATTGAATGCCTATAGCGTAGTAGGGACTGTGCCACGCCCGCTCTCATTGCATCCTTCCAGCCATCCCGTGAGGGGTTAGTGTTGTTAAACCCATTTTATAGTTGAGGTTTTGCAGGCCAAGAGACAAAATCAAGGATATTCTGTAGGCTTTTATATAAATAACTACGGGCCTGGTGCATGAAATTCGTGCACTGGGTGTGTGTGTGGGGGGGGGGTGTCCCTCAGCCCAGCCTGCCCCCTCTCACATACTGGGAGCCCTCAGGCGTTGACCCCCATCACCCTCCCATCACAGGATCAGCCCCTTGCCCAGGCCTGACGCCTCTGACAGAGGTGTCAGGCCTGGGCTGGGGACCCTCATTTCCCCCCATCACTGGTTCTGCCCCCAGCCCAGGCCTGATGCCTCTGGCCCAGGCGTCAGGCCTGGGCAGGGGACCCCCAG